CCCGGGTTCGGTTCCCGCTAAGGGCACGTACCTCGGTTGCAGTTTGTCCCCGGCCCTGGTTGGGTTGTGTGGGTGGCAACCACTCGATGTGTCGCTTTCACGTCGATGTTTCTCTCTCCCTCTCACTCTATCTGAACAAAATATCGAAAAATGTCCTCGGGTGAGGATAAAAAAAAAAATACCCCCAAACACACGACAAAGTGTGGGGTGAGTGAATCGGTGTGTGAGGGTGTGGATGGGGGTGAGCCAGGCCTGGTGTGAGAATGTGAGTGTGAGTGCGGACAGGAGACGAGTGTGTGCCAGTGCCCGGCAGACACGGTCAGGCAGGGAGCAGTCACACCCCCGTCAGAGGGCCAAGGTGCCTGAGGGGCAGGAGCTGTCGGAAGGGCAGGAAGCAGGTCTGGGCTGAGTGCAGGAAAACAAGCTCCAGTCATGGAGTCTTAATGGAAGGTGGGGGGGGAGATGAAGCAGAACTCTACGGAGCTTTTAACAAGGAAATACCATCTATCCAGGAAACCACACACGCACTTTCTCTACACACCCAGAACAGCTCCTGCCAGAAGGTCCTTGTGTCGTCACACAACACGGACAGCACCAGCGATCTGGAACATTCCGGGCTGTCTTTAACCAGCCAGGAAATGCCACCTGACAGTGTGGGGCTGGTGCTCACAGCAGCGGACTCCGCCCTCACCCCACCCCACACAACGACGTGGGAGAAGCCCGGCTGAGCCCTTCTGTGACTTTAGTTCTTTCCTTCCCAAATGGGGCCCTAGCAAAGCCTCCACCCTCGGCTGTGGGATGGTCACATCCTGACTTCCTGCACACAGGTGTACACAGACACTGGGGACTAAAGAGAAAACAAAAACTGAACGAAGTGTACAGGTCATAAGGCCACAGCCAGTGCTCCTAGCAGGTCCTACACATGGTTCTTCTACAGGAAAATCGAAGAGAAAAGAAACGAAAGGCGGCAAGGCGGAATTTCCTCTCTGTACTTCAATCCAGCACGCGCCCTGGGGGCAGGCGGCGGCACAGCCGTGAACAGAGGGCAGGAACTCCGAGTGAGGAGCGCAGAGACAGCAGCGAAGGAGCTGCCAGTAACACCTCGGTGTGCAAGAAACACGGAAAGGCTCCTTCTAGGAAGGAAGATGCCAAGTTCAAGAGCAAGTGCCTCTGCAGGGTTTGTTCCTGTCCCCGAGAACGAGAAAGCAATGCACAGAGCACACCGCACGTCGGCTCCCCTGCCAGCCCGTGGGCAGTTCTCACTGCAAGGGAACCCCGTCCAGTGGAACTAGCCCAAGGTGTATCACAAGATCAAATCAGCCTTGAATCACGCAAGCTTTCCCCAGGTTTCCTCCTGAGGTCCAGCGCCGGACCCCGGGCCCCTTCCCCTGGAGAGGACGCACAGGGCCAGGGAGGGACAGAGAACAGCCCGCTGCAATTCGGGGACAGGGCAGAGAAGGGCATTTGTATGAATGTGATGTGTTTTGCCATTTTTCCTAAAAAAACTTTTTTCAGATGTGAAAGGTAAGTTGCTTGAGTTTAATTACAAAGTTGCCTTTGAAGGCTACATCCAAGGGCAAATTAGAGAATTTACCATCTGAAAAGACCGAAAGTCTTCTGAAACTTTGTTCAGGGAAAAAGATTTTTTGAAGGGTTTATGTCACCTGCTCTCCACTGTCTGCCTTTACGTAGACTCTCCCTCACCTCTTCATGGGCACCCGTCACCCGGGCCCGTCCTCTTGCTGGCTGCCTCTCTAATCTGCTCCCTCCACAGAACTCATTCTACTCCTACCTCAGTTCAGCATGTAATTTTTGCTTCAAATATTTCAAGAGCCGCCTGATGGATCTGCCTCCTCTCTGCCCTGCTCCCCACCCCAAGGACACTCCCAGGGGCCAGGGCCAGGCCTGATCTGATCAACTTGATCCAGGGCATAAACCCTGTGGAGGGTCCCCTGTCCTCCAACTCAAGCCCAAACCCCTTAGGTGGCTTAAAAGACCCTTGGCGGAAGGGCCCCTGCGTTGCTCTATACTCCCTACATAGCCAACCCCAGCCTCACACCCAGCCCCAGGTGCAGTTCCTGTCTCCTGACACCCTGGAGGGACCGTCACCTGGCTTCCTGTACCTCACTGAGCACTCAGACACCCCACCCTCCTCCGCATGAGGCCCACAACTCCCACTGTGCCTTCCTGAAGAGGCTCGAAAGCTGAAGAACATTTTCCAGACTCATCCCAGCAGGAATTAGATCCAAGCATGTGCACTCACTGGGGACTGGAGTGCTGACCAGGGTTAGGGGTGGAGGTGCAGAATGGAGCAAGGAGTGTGGGGGCCCCACCTCTGAGCTGAGGCTGCAGCGGGGCCTCCTGCTTCAGCCTCTGCGCTGGGTCGGGGATGGGGGGCCTGACACGGAGCCATCCAGCAAGACTGCTGCTCCAGGCCTTCGCACCGCTCCACTAGCACCTACTGCCATACCAAATCCTGTCTGCTCCCAACGCTGGAGGACTTCCGTCTGTGACAGACCCCAGCAGACCCATGTGCTCCTCTTTCCAGCACTCACTGGGAAACGCACAGACCACAGACACAGCCTGGTCCAGCCCTGGTCCAACTAGGCACCAGCCCAGCGCCTGGCAGAACACCGAACAGACAGACAGAACTGAAAACAGATAAGTAATGGGGACAAAAACAGAAAAGCTTTTCTAGAACCCTCGATTCTTCAATCAGTCACAGGGATAAGAGGTGATAAAAATCAAAGAAACTACATGGATCTGCACAAGTCCATTCTGGTCCTCCAAAAAAACACCTCTCCAGAAGAAAACCACCTCGTTCGCAGGTGCACAAGAAAAGCTGAGCCAGAGGGAAAAACTGGAACACCCTGAGAACTGTGTCCTGCCACATGGGAATTCAGTGGTGGAGCCAGCAGTCTGGGCCCGCCCCTGCCGGCCACTCTGCAGGTCCCTGCAGCCAGCCAGTGTGGCCTCTCGGGGTGCAGTCTTCCCCTCCATCTCAAAGGTAATACCGTCTCCCAGTTGGGCACTTTGAGAAATTAAATGCATTCATAGATGTGAAAGCACTCTAAAATAGGGCCAATGACCGAACTTCTTAATGTCACTCATTTCCTTTCTAAGAGGCAGAACCTTAGTGAGAAGTCACTCACAGAAATAAACGCTGCTGCAGCTGAAGGGAGCAGGCCCCCGCCCAGGCCCAAAGCTACACAAGAACCCATGACACAAACCGTCTCAGCTCGCCTTGCTTTCTTTGCCAGCCCTGGAAATGCCACTAACACGCCATTTACAACAGGAGAGCCCTCTGCATCATGGCATTCTCATGCCACACACCTCGAATGGCTTGACAGAGTCTCCTCATGTCTCGCGATACCAGGCAAGAGAGGAGAAACCTAGACGCTCGCTGAAGCCACCTCAAAGTAGGCGCAGGTCACACAGGTGAGTGACAAAGGAGAGGCTCAGGCAAGGTGAATGGCAGCCTGTCTTCCCACCTTCCCGGCTGCCTCTGTGTGTAAGCTTTTCTCTTCTGGACACAAACCGGTTAGCCTGTTGCCAACATCCCCCCTTCTTTTCTTCCACTCTGTGATCTTTCTTTTTTTGGTCAGTTGCTTCCTTCAGGAAGGACGCTGGAACTGTATTTCCATTACAGATGAAATGTTACGCAGATCATTTTCTTTGCACTACTGCATTAATTTACATATTTTAACAATAAATGAGAAGTCTACATTTCAACATCAGATAAATGGCTGCAAGAAACCAGCCTAGCAACAATGTCACAAACAAAAATATAGAAAAAGAAGCTACTTCCCACTCCAACTTGTGGCAAACAAAAAGGAACACCATATCAGGGAACAGCACATTCCTGGATGAAGTGCTACTAAGTAATTTGGAATCTTCTGACTCTTTCCCCAAGTATGTCAGGTATTAGGCAATTTGTCCCTCACCTATGAAGCAGCCATAAGAGCACCCAAGATCTTGGTGAGTCTTCAGACCCAAAAAGATTTTAATTTTCTTTTTTGCCTTTTCAAAACTGTCTACAATATTTTGATAATTAAAAAAGACAATGTTTTTTAAAGTTAATTAAAGTTGACTTATACACAATCATTTCTGTATAGCCCTTCCTTTTTTTTAGAGAGAGAGAGGAAGGGTCAGGGAGAAAGAGATAGAAACATTGATGAGAGAACATCCACTGGCTGCCTCCTGCATGCCCCCTACTGGGGATTTAGTCCACAACCTGGGCATGTGTCCTGACCAGGAATCGAACTGGCGACCTCTTGGTGCATGGGTCGACGCTCAACCACTGAGCCACACCAGCCAGGCTCCGTATATCCCTTCTTATATACAACTCAGGAAATTTATACAAGGGATTCCACCAAGTTGTAGCAATACACATGAACTTACGTAATTGCATTTATGTGGTCAAATCATCATAAACATACCTAAGTCTGCAACAGATAAGGAGGCAAAAAAGAAAAGAAAAATCGACTAACAGTTCAATCCCCGAGAATCAGCTGAAGTCTCGCTTGAGGTATCTACCATCAAATAACCAGATGTTCTTTAAACTTCAAACCCAGCATTCTTGAGTCCCCTACTCTCTTTGTTAGTACTTACTTAGAGGTTGGCAACCCTTCCTATCCATGAGCCATAACGAGGGCACAAATGTTACTCTTCTTTGAGACACAAACATCCAGCACAGGCCCAGCAGAGTAGGGACTTAACACGTTTGTAGACAGTAAGAAAAAAGCCAACAGGAGGATGAATCTGACGCTTAGAGAGTTCTTTTTATTGCTCTCATTTATCACCATTGCAAAGGGTTTACAAGGAGCCCACCCAAGGACTAACCGGCAGATGGAGGGAGGTACCCGAAGCTTCATCAAGAGGCTGATTCATCTCACTGTATAAACATACACACAGGTATCCACTATCCTCCCACCGAGAAAAACTGGACGGCGTAAAAACTGGGGTTTAGAAGAGTAAGAGGAACACAAAGCAGGCCTTGCCTTTTCATCCTGGTGTAACTTGTTGACGCTCTCCATCTGGAAGTTGTGGCTGGACTGGATCTTGTCGAGCTGCTCCCGTTGCTTCTCCAGCTCTCCCTGGAACTCGTTCTTTTTCAGCTCCACCGCGCCTCTCTCGGCGGCCGCCCTGCGGACCCTGCCTTCCAGCTCCATGATCCTCGTCTACAAGGACACCACAGTGTAAGGGCAAATGTCAGGTCATCCCTGGACCACCTGAGCAAAGAGAGTCCAGAGCCCAAAGCCAGCGGCAAGCCTACACACACGGTGTGTGCCCAAAGCTCAATCTTCAGTCAACTATAAAAGCCACAGCAGGTGTTTCTAGAGAAACGGTCTAGAAGCAATGGAATTCACTTCTATGAGCTACCTGCCTCCACTGCATGTCTCCATGGAGACATCACCACGCCCTCCACAGGGATTTTGTGAGGTTTAAATAAGCACACAAAATCTCTCTTGCTTTACCTGGTGTGAGCTGGTGCTCAAAAATTTGATTCCCTTTCTCCACTAACAGGGCACTTAACCACTCCCTATCAGACAAAATTTCTAAAGACAGATTCAGCTCTCCAGCTCTGGACACCACAACCGCATGTGCGCAGAGAACAGCTCAGACAAAAGCAGTGCCCCGGGTGGGTGAGCACGAGAGGACACACACGCAGGTGCAATGTTGTTCCAGGGCTCGGAGCCCACGCTCTGGTGTCAGACAGGCTGGGCTGGAATCCCAGCTCCCGGGTAACTTCCCCCTGTCTGTGTCTCAGTGTGCTCACCTATGAAACAGGGAAAACGAAGTCCCAACCTCGTAGAGTTGTTTACAAAAGATGAGGATGTAGCCCTGGTCGGTTTTGCTCAGTGGTTAGAGCGTTGGCCCACGGACCAGAGAGGCCTGGGTTCAGTTCCCATGTACCATGGTTGCAATTTGTCCCCGGCCCCAGTTGGGGTCATGGGGGTGGCAACCACTCGATGTGTCTCTCTTACATGGATGTTTCTCTCCCTCTCTCCCTCCCACTCTACCTGAGGATAAATGCAAAAATGTCCTAGGATGAGAATAAAAGGAAAAAAAATGATGATGATGATGATGTATATAATGCTCTGTTAAAGAAAACCCATTCTGGCCCTGGCCAGTTTGGCTCAGCGGTTAGAGCGTCGGCCTGCGGTCCCGAGAGACCCGGGTTCGGTTCCCGCTAAGGGCACGTACCTCGGTTGCAGTTTGTCCCCGGCCCTGGTTGGTCGTGCGGGTGGCAGCCACTCGATGTGTCCCTTTCACATCGATGTTTCTCTCTCTCTTCCTCTCTCTCCCTCTCACTCTACCGGAACAAAAAATAGAAAAATGTCCTCAGGTGAGGATAAAAAAAAAAAAGAAAACCCATTCTGATGCTTGTTAAAATAGCACATAAAACTTTATTGGAGATGACCCAACAGGGGCCGTGGCTACAGCAGGAGGGCAGAGAAGCTGCTCCTCTAAACACAGCGGAGGATTTACAGCCAGAGAGCAGACTGAGGGGGTCAATATGCGGGAAAGTGTTAGCAGGAAACACCGAGAGTAAGGGGATCCTTGCTTCACTGGACTAACAGGGTTCTCGCTGAAGGCAGACTGAGGGCTTAAAGAATGAGGGATGAGGAGCCGGCTCAGATATGGGGGTGGGGTTACTTAGCAGGCCACAAGCGGAGGGGAGAGTGGGGCACACGGAGGCCCAGCTGAAAAGGGGGCCACATCACTGCTGAGCCCTGCCTGACCCACGGTGGGAAATAATAGATGGGAAAGTTAACATGGCTATCGTTACAGTGATGATAAAGACTGGTACCTTTAAAAACCCATTTCTCACACCCATTACTGACTTTATTTCCGTCACTATGTTTGGAATCTAGCATGACTGGAGGACAAGAATGGGCATGGGTCAGTATACTTCATGGAGTGGTCTTCTCAGAACCAGCCCAAACGGCTCAACTAAAAGTTCTGAACTTGAAGAAAAAGTGGAGAGAGGTGTCCTGGCAAAAATCCCGTCACAAGAGGGTCCTCTCCCACCCAAGAGCAGGGCTGGTGTGGACGGCCAGGGCCAAGGCTGGCTGGGGGTACATGCAGAGCCTGAACTCAGAGTACAACGAGCACACACCACTGAGCAACACCTCAGGTGGCAACCAATACAAACCTCTCAGACCCCACCACCCAGCAATGTTAAATACTTCACGACTGCCACACAAACAAAACAAATAGGCAAAACACCTGGAGATCCACGCTCCGGGAGCTCGCGATCCAGTAGTTGAAGCCCAGGACAATGATACAGGCCACCAGGGCAGCCAGCACGAAGGGCGGTGACTTCATGGTCCGACGCCCGTTTCCCAGTCCCATCATCTCATAGGCCAGGCTGAGAATCTGGCGGATAAACACAAATATATGAGCATCAATATCGGTAGTCCATGCCCGAAGCAGGCCACGTCCACTGTCACAGCCAAAAGGAAGGCGTCCTGCCCCAAAGCATGTCTTTGGTCTTCTCCTTGAAATATGAAGCTGTCATAGGAGAACAGGTAAGGAGCACCCACAGTGGGCAGTACAGCTGGCTCCCCAGGACACAACACTCAGAGATCTCGGGCAGGTAACAAATTCTCTTATGCTTGTTTCCTCATCCGTAAAATGGGAACAGAATTACTAATGGCACCCAGCTAAAGCATTTCTTGAGCTGAGCAGGAAAGCACCCTGGAGGAGTATGAATTGGCACTGTGTTCGTCACGGAGCAGACAGGGCCTGGGGGCAGAAATGGGGCTGGCACCCTGATTCCACTCATGTCTCTCCCTTCAGAGACCTCATCTGTGCGGCCTCGGCATGTCCAGGTAACCAAGACTTCGAGAGCTGCAGAGAGCTCCAAGTTCTTTAAAGAAAAACACAGTTTATAAGAAAGGTGCCAACAACTTGGCTCATGGGCTTCAACTCAACACCAGGTCTCGCTGGATGCCAGCACTGGGCACCCAGGACAAGGAAAGTTGACTTTGCCAAAAGGCCTTTGCTGAGACAGATAATACAGGACCTTATCAGAGGGAGGGTAACAAGCAATAACCACTTTCATGCCAGGTGAGACCAACAATGGAGGAGGAGGGGGAGGAGGAAAAGGGGGAGCGGTAAAAAGGGGGTAGAGAGGGAAAAAGACCACCAGGGTCTCACCTTGGAGGTCCAGTTCTTGTAAGTGAGAATACAGGAAAGCTGACAGAGCCCACTCTTACCCTATGGCAGTTCTAAGTGTGTGGCTGGGAGAGATCCTCTTTCTTTTTTTTAATATTTTTTCTTTGTTAATTTTAGAGAGAGAGGGAGGGAGGGAGAGAGAGAAACATCAATGAGAAAGAACATCAACTGGCCACCTCCTGCATGCCCCCCGCTGGGGGATGGGCCCACAACTGGGGCATGTGCCCTGATCGGAAATCCAACCAGAGACCTCTTGGTGTATGGGTCGACGCTCAACCACTGAGCCACACCAGCCAGGCTGTCCTCTTCCTTAATACAGGCATACCTTGTTTTGTTGCTCTTCAGTACACCAGCAAAAAGATTACACCTCGGTTTTTTTGTTTTGTGCCCCTAGCAGGAACCGAAGCCGGGAGCCTCTCTGGTCCACAGGCCAACGCTCCAATTGCTGAGCCAAACCGGCCAGGGCTCGCCTCGGTTTCTTACAAGACTCACTCTTCTGCGGTGGCCAGGAACTGAACCCACGGTATCTGTGAGGCGTGCCCATGCCAAGACCGAGGCCCCACTCCTCCGCTTCTAATTCTGAACGAACTTAGTCAGGGCCCTGGTGTTGGTGTTTTAATCTCCCAGGTTATTCTAACGTGCAGCCACGTTTCAAGAAGTACTTCTCGACGCCTCTTAGTGTGTTTACAAGCAAACAAGGTCCTGTGCACCGTTCTGTACATGTTGTGAACCACTTAGTAATGCACTTGTCACCCTCTTCCTGCTAGCTCCTTTCTTCCTAGAGGGCTGACTAGGCACCACTGTGCACCAGGAAGCACTTAGCCAATCTCCATCGGCATTCTCTAGGCTGATTTCCAACAAGGCTGCCGCAATCACTCTTCTACATCCACATCCATGTTTGCAATCCCTTATGCAAAATTCTGAAATAAAAAATGCTCTAGAAATGCAAAGGGATTTTAATCACTCAGCCAGCAACACAACCTGACCTGAAATCAAGATCAAATATGACCAGAACTCACCTAAAGCTACTAAAACTAGTCTTGACCTTCCTCCCTTCATGGGAATAGTCACACATCTTGCTGCAGAAAGATCAGTGTTTGACTATGAGATGCTGCTGCAGATCCTCCGGGGGTTATCACATAGTATGTAATAAAATACAACTTACGATCTTCTATCGGGGGTGGGGAACCTTTTTTCTGCCAAAGGCCATTTGACCATTTATAACATAATTTGAGGGCCATACAAAATTTTCAGCTTAAAATTTAGCCTGCTGCATTTGGTCAGGCTAATTTGGTGAGATATGTGATGTTAACTGTTTAAATAAAATTCTGAAAACATTCTGAATTGCAAACACATTTGGCAGGGGTTCTGGGAAGGGAGGTAAACCAGCAGGGGGTTACTGTGTGCGAAGTAATGACCAGGTGCTTCCAATATGGGGTTCCGTGACTTCTCCAATCAGTGTAAGGGGGCATTTTCACCCCCATACTGCAGCGGATGAAATATCAGACAGCTGTGGATGAATTTTGGCAAGTGGAATTGCTGTGCCAAAATATATGTGTTTAACATTGACAGTTCTTATCTCCTCTAAAATATTTAGCACATTACAAAGGGAAAGCAATACCTTCACAGTGGAGAATCCTAGCGGACACCACCTTAGCCCTGTGGTCAAGGTTACCATCACCAGTAATGAGACATATCAGCATCACAGACCACCTGATATGATGCACTGGGAGAAAAATTCTGAGGAACTCAATTGAGGGATATTCTATAAAACATCTGGCCCTGGCCGGTTTGGCTCAGCGGTTAGAGGGTCAGCCTGCGGTCCAGAGACACCCGGGTTCGGTTCCCGCTAAGGGCATGTACCTCGGTTGCAGTTTGTCCCCGGCCCTGGTTGGGTTGTGAGGGTGGCAACCAGTCGATGTGTCCCTTTCACGTTGATGTTTCTCTCTCTCTCTCTCTCTCTCCCCCACTCTATCTGAACAAAATATCAAAAAAAAAAAAATCTGACCAGCACTTTTCAAAACTGTCAAGATCATGAAAAAATAAGAAAAAAATGAGGAACTATCACAGACTAACACCTACAGAAGCATGATAACTCAATGCAAGATGGAATGCTGCACTGGATCCTGAAACACAAGACGACCATCATGGGGGAAACTGGTGAAATTCAAGTAAGTTAAGCACTTTGGTTAATAAGATAGTGCCAAGGTTAATTTCTTAATTCTGATAAACTCTCTGAGTATATAAGATGATAACGTAAGGGGAAGCTGGATGAAGGATGTATGGGAACTATCTGTACTATTTTTGCAACTCTTTCATAAATTTCTAACAGTGTTTTGATACATCTTACCACGTTGGCCTTCAAATCATTTCCAGTAATTTACCCTCCCACCAGGTGTATGAGAATATATCTGTTTTCTCAAACAACACACACACTTTTTAATGTCTGGTGATCTCATTTGTAGTGATATTTACAAAACATTTCTCTAGTTATGAGCATAAATGAACATCTTTTCATTCACTGGCCATTTGTATGTTCATTTTGGTGAAGTAACTTTTCATAGTTTCTGCCCATTTTAAACTGGGGTGTTCTTTTTACTGATTTGTAAGAGCTTTATTGTACGTTACAGATAAACTAATCTTTGACCTTAGATAATTTTTTTTTCTCAATTTTTCATTTGTTCTTTGACTTGTGAAATTTTCTGCCCACTGTTTTTGGTTGTTGGTGTTTTTAAAATAAACTGATCTTGTCAGTCTTTTATTACTCCTGGATTTTGTTTAGCTTTAGAAAGTACTCTGAGTTTTGAAATACATTTACTCATATCCCATATCTCCTCTCAACATATTTATGTTTTCAAACTTATATTTACATCTTTCATCCACTTAGAATTCCTTTTTAATGTAAAGAGTACAAAAATACAAAAAATAAGACCTTTTTTTTTTTTTTTTTTGTAATAGCTAGCCAGTTTTCAGTACCCCTTACGGAATAATCTGTTTTTATCTAGTGCCTTGAAAGCCTGTCTTGGCCATACACCCAACTCCCTAACAATATAAATTTAGATGGGACCCTTCAATGACCTGTTCTTATTCCAGCAGATGTAAGTCAGTGAGTGCGTGGACTTTAAGTCTGACAACAGAGTCTGAACTTGTTTTCACATCAAGAGAAGTGCATAGGTCACTATTTAACATTCTCCTTCCTTTAGCCAGTTATAAAAAAAGTACTGAGCACTACCGTGACTCGGATGCTGTGCTGGCACCAGGCAGCTCAGGTGGAGTGAAGAGAACAGACACGACCCCCAGCAACGGCCGGCGTGGGATCCTGGTTCCACCGCTTGGGAGCCAGAGGGTCTGCCTGTGCCGCACTGTCCTCCTCCTCGGCTTTTAAGATAAGAGAACTGCTCAGAACCACACCTGGCACACAGGAACTGCTCAATAAATGTCGACTATTATTATTATTTAAGGTGGAAAGATGAGTAACAAGTTATTTCTAGATCTAGTCTTTTCCCCTAAGGAATGTTTTCTTCCCTCAATCATTCTGCTTAATAGAAGCCAGCTACCTGCATTCCTTGTGACTCTTCTGTCCACGGCAGCAGCAACTGCCATCGCCTGGAGCTGACTCGCAGGTGCCACAGCAGCAGTGGACAGCCCAGACCAAGCCCCGTGCGGTGACCCAGTGTGCGGCTGCCCAGAGCACACGGTTAGGAGAGCCTGGGCACAGGGCTGCCCAGGTAAGAAGGTGACCATGAGGAAGGAAGGGCCAACACTCATCCTTCAGGCTCCACCACTGACTTCTGGGACTATAGCAACTACTGCTGCTAAATATAAAGGGACAGAGATACAGGCGAGAAATGACAAAGACTGATGAAGACTTCGGGCAGCCATTCAGAGCCAGAGTTTACAGCTGTCAAACACTATAAGCACTCTCTCTCCCCCACCTTAAATGTAACTTGCGTGCACTGAGGGGGTGATGAAAATGGGTGGAAGATATACTTCGTCAAATATATTAATATTCATCTAATTTAGGCTTCAGATTGTGTTTTTATCTCGTATTGGATTATAGGTATCAAAACAAATGATTAACCTAAATCAGCCAAGCTCTGCAACCCCAGGCTTCCCGGCAGTGGAAGTAGTGTGCTTATGTGTTAAAAGTCTCTTGGTAGCCCTGGCTGGTTTGGCTCAGCGGTCAGAGCGTCTGACCT